GTGAAGGTGATGGCACAACAACGGGTGGAGAAGGCACCGGGATTGGCGGAGAAGGTGGAGGTGGGGCGGGTAAAGAAGGTACGAAAGGAGCACATCTAAATGAGCTGCAGTCCACTGGCCTAGACAAGAAAGACTTACATTGCGCCGCGCTTCTTTGCAAAGGTCTTGCAGGCAAGCAATTTCTTCGGTCGTCGAAATCTTGTAAGCTCAAGCAAACTGGTGGCTCTCCAGTGAAGAAGTTGTACGAGAATGTGAAGTTTTGCAACTTGGGTAACTTGCAAATGCTGGCTGGAATTTTACCAGAGAGCATATTATGTGCCACATTGAGTTGCTCAAGGCTGATCATCTCCCCAATTTTGTCAGGCAAAGGACCCATTAACTTGTTGAAGCTAACATCGAAGACAGTCAAGTTTTTGAGCAAACCGATTTCTTCAGGCAAGCAAGATCTGAAACCATTGTTCATGAGAATGATTTCTTCAAGACCTGACATGTTACCGAGACTAGAAGGCACGCATCCGTGGAACTTGTTGTTGGCTAGGACAATAACAGAAACCGGAGAGTTACCAAAGTTGTCAGGGATGTTGAATCTGAAGCGGTTGTGGTTGATGAAAATGGCATCCAAGTCTTTGTCGAAAAGTTCTTTTGGTACGGTTCCTTCGAACTCGTTGAACCTCAGATCCAAGAACTTGAGCTTAGGCAGCTTCAGAACCACGTCAGGAAACTTACCAGCAAACCGGTTGTTGCTAAGATCCAGCTCGAACAGTATCTTCAAGTTTATGAACTTGTGTGGAACAGTACCACAGAAGCGATTGGAGTTGATGTGGAACAATGCAAGATCAGTGAGTAAGCCAAGCTCCTCTGGCAAGTACCCAGCAATATCACCATGGTTTAGATCAATGCCAGCAACGGTCTTGATTTTCTTGTTATCAGGTGCAGGAGCACAGTAAACCCCAGTGTAGCTGCAAACCTCAGATCCAACCCAATTACCTGTGAGATTGAAAGGGTCAGAAAGAATAGCCTGTTTCCAAGCTTGTAAAGCTATGTAAGCATTTCTGAGTCTTGGGTTTTCAAAGACAAGAGATGGGTCAACAGTGACTCTTTCCCCTCTGTCACCAAACTCATCTCTGTAGTAGAGAAGCTGGCGCTGCTTGATGTACAAGACTTCTTGGTCTGTGAGGCCCCCATGGCTTGAAATGGAATGCTGCTCACAGGAACAGAAGCCAATAAAGAGTGAAATGAGCAGGAGGGAGAGATGAGAAGAATGGAGCTTGATATGAGTCTTCTTCTTCATCTCACATGAGACATCTGATTTAACAAATGCCACTTTCTTTTCTTTTATTGTTTCCCTTTGCCTTGGCTCGTCCTTGTCTGTCTCTCTCTCCCTCACTCTCTTGCTCTTGGCAAAGCTTGGATTGCAAATGGGGTTTTTTGCAGAGATGATTATGCTGTTGTTTGTGGTTCACCTCGAGATCTAAGAAGAAAATGTGGGGAGAGGTAACAGAGAAAAGATAGGGATTTTGGGTTTGAGGAGAGAGAGAACGGGTGAGGAGGGTTTTTTCTAGTAGGGATTTTGGAGATATGTGTGTGAGAGAGAGAGAGTCTCTGCCAGAAAAGAAATAATAATTATTCACCAAAAGGACAGCTAAATCACAGCTCAAAGCCCACCAGATTCTCTCTCTTTCTCTCCCTGCCTTCTTTTTTTATAATGTTTCCCTCCTCCTTTATGTTATTTTCGCTCTCATTGCAAGGCTGACTTTATTCTTTCTTTTCTGGCAGAGACTTAAGAACAAGTCTTAAGAACAAGTCCATATAAAAATAGGCAAATGTCACTCAAAACGCTAATTAAGTTTAACTAACAATAATTGTCAACAATTTTTAATTTAAAGTTCAAATAATGTAAAAGTTGTTCAGGGGAAGTCGGTGGATGAGCCATCTTCCGGCCACTGTTTGGACAGGAAAAAAAAGAAGATCCGGCAGGTAGCCTGTTGATATCACGAGATTGCAGTGAAAATTTCACGAGTAATTGGTACTTAAATTTTTGGTGGTGGAATATGAATGGGATAGATGCAGAGAGAGAGAGAGAGGGGAGCTGAGAGACACCCAGACAGTAGATTTTAATCCAACTTTTAAGCTGGGTGGTGGAGTAGTTTTGTTTGTCAAACTCCTTGTAGTAAATGATCTGCCAGTAACGCTCTGTCAAAATGACTTTGCTATCCTCTTTTTCCTCACACATTTTCATTTCTTCCTTTCCATATTCTCATGGACTCCCTCACTGTATACTTTTTGGTGTCACTTTTCACTTTCTTGAGCATCACATTCAAGCTTTCTACTTTAGTTTGCACCATCCCGGTTGCTTGCTGCCCAATCTTTTGAAGTTTGCATTCTCAGTACTTTACACTTTTTAGACAGTTCAAATTTTTGTAAGTTTGAAGGGGCAAAGACAAATGAAAATTTTTCTTTGTTTTGATGGGAAGCCCACCCCTGCTTACAATGTTTTTATCAATTGGTTCAACTTTCAATAGCAATGCGTCTATCCAAGGGCGGACCGATATTGATTGACAGCATTGAAGTGTCAAAAACTTTTACTAATTATATTATTTATATTAAAATTTTATATAATTAATGATACTAATAAATTTTAAAATATTCAAATTTAATTTATCAAAATAAGAGAATTATAAATTTTAAAGGATTATTGTTTATTTAGCTGTAAATAATCTAATTTTTAATGCTAATTATTTGCAAGATTAATGGGATTCTTTTGTAAAAAAATATTGAGGGGGAGAAGGGCAATTTAGACAATGAACAATGAAACAGGTAAGACGTGCATCAGGGGTACGCAAAGAATTTAAGACATGCGTTACATTCATATTAGCATTTATTACGAGACAAAACACCACTAGGCAAAAGTCTTAAGATTTGATTAGAACTCGGATCGAAAGGTCCATGCATGTTAGTCGTCCACATCAGGCTCGATGATGATGATCATTTTTTAAGAAGACACGACCGTCATCAATTTCATCAACACCACCCATCAACATTAATATTACAAAACTACCCTTTTGCATTCGAGAAACCCAAAAAAAATGTGGGTCCCAACCGTTTTACCCCCATCAAAGTGTCTCAATGGAAAAGAAAACGACATCAATCAAGCGAGTGTTTGGCTCTTTTCCGGGACCCACGTGTCACGTCTTGCCCGGCTGGACCGTCGGCGCGGCCTCGAAAAAGAGAGACGGTGGGCCCGCGCTCCCCTGTGGAGTTGCACCGCGTCCGCATCAGCGGCTTCATCATCTCTAATGGAGACTAGGCTAGCTTTTGCTCCTTTTCTTTGTTTTGTTTTTTTCATTGACCGAAACGCCCTTGCCCGAACAACAACACTAACCCCTTTTTACTTTGTTGGACGCGTTTCCGCTTACCTCACACCAACGGCAATCTCCAATTTGGCATTTGCTGCTACTGGTGTGCTGTGTCTTGTTGGGTTTCTGATATAATATGCAACGGATAAAATTCCCTGTTCATACTCTATATTTCAGACTTTTTTCTTTTAATTATCTAAGACCAACGCGGTTGCTTGTAAAATGATTACCGTTGGAATGAGAGAAAAAAAATAAAACGAAAACAATTTACCACTACTGCTACATATGGGTTTCCACTTTGGAGACTGTTGAGTGAGTCATTTGACCAAATTCCAATCCTTTATGTTTGAAGTACACGCTCAATCATTCACAGAAAATTTCAAGTACTTATACAGTCTTTTATAATAATAATGACAGCAAATTGAGTTCTCTTTCTTTTTTCTTTTCATTATGTTAGGGTTGCTTGTACATATCAAATTACTAAAAAGCTTACTTTGATACTTCTTGTGGGATTCTTTTGTTATTATAAAAAAGATTGATAATTTTTTTTATATTTTTAATGCATATGGAAAGTGAGTTCGCAAAACAATTTTTATTTTGCTAGATTTTTTATAATATATTATTTATTTGATCATCAAATATCAAATCGATATTGAGTTTGAATTGTTTTCATTTTCTATATCATGTAAGTACTCGATTGAGTTTTAACGTTGGAGTAAAAATTTGAACTTATTGATATGTTTAATGAGGTCTATGTTTCTTGTCCCTTAAGAGATTGACAATCATTTTTCTTATAAAAAGTGAATCTTTGAAATATTTGCTCACAAAGATGAAAATTTATACGAATTTATTTGATAGCAACATGAATCGTGATGGATGATTAGGACGGGAGGGGGAAACTCGAGTGCAATTTTTTTTTTCCAGCATGAAGCTATGCTATTTGAAGAAAATCTTTACTATGGAATGCAATGGATTAAAAAAATAATATATTTAGTATATAATTTTTTTATTCAAAAGGTACGACTCGACTCTTATTGAAGAAAATAATACAATTTTAGGGTGATGAAATGTGAATGATTTGGATGTTTGATTATTGTCATTTGTTAAAGTAAGCCGTCGGATTATCATGATCCACAAACAACCACCTGTCGTTGCAAATGGTACAATTATTATATTTTTAAAATAAATAAATAAGTAATTGGCCAACTATCTAAAATGTGATGCCCAAAGCATGGCAACATTGGGTAACACGTGTAACCCCTGGACTGACCGGATTTATCGTTTACTAAATTTGAAGAGTCTCAGCTCACCACGATTGAAGATATTTTTCAAATGTCCTCTTCATCCTTATTTATTTTATTTGATTTTTTCTCACTTCTGGGGCCAATGTGAAACATTTGTGGTCTTTCGTCGGAAGTGAAAAAACATTCTCAAGGCCACTGGGAAGATATGAAAGAAGGAGCCTTGTGCTTCTCAACAGTGAGAACTAAGAAAGCAAAGACATGATCTTAAAGTCATAATGTCATTTCAAGTTAATTATAATATTTATGTAGTTATGGAAATTTTTACTTGTTTTCGCATCTTATGGTTGGCACAGTAATTTCCTTAAGTGTACTTACAATATCATATGCCAAATATATATAAAACAAAACAAAAACGAGTGATTCTCAACAATTTAGGATGAAGTTAAATCAGCTGTAAATAATAAGCTACAAACTATTCATCTAAAGTTTTAAAATTTTATACTATTTAAAAAATAATTATTCAATTTGCAACGAAAAGGAATATATTTTCGTTACATTGACCGTATGTTTATACTGAGTCATATTTATATATTCAAATATTATTAAATAATCACCGAAAAAAAAAAGTCAAATTGTTCAGGATAACTATAAAACTTAAACAAAAGTCCTCGGATCATTGTCTGTCGACGGTATTCTCTTTCATTCGACAAGTAGGAAAAGAAGAAGAAAAAATACTCTACTTTCTTCCAAAAATATCATTATCAAGCCAACTTAGGCGCATATTAAATGGCATTTTCAAGCCACTTTAGGGGTAAGTTTATACGGCTGGTACAGGTCACCGAAGACAGCGTGGGACCCGTAATGACACGTAAGAAACGACGCCCATTAGAGCCTGACAAATGCCAGCCGGCAATGCCAGCTATACCTCTCAAGACGACACGTGTCACCTGAAAGCTTCCCCCATTTAGTCACAGAATTTTCCTGCACGTCCCACGTGGCAAATCGACAGTTTCCTGACCTCAGGTTTCGTGGGACCCGAAGAAAGTTCATTCCTTCAATTCCACATGCTCTTAACAAGGGTTTAGGTCGGAAGGGCGTTTAATGCAGTTTGTAGTTAAGCACAATGGGATTAACCCTAATCACTCCCCCGCCAGCTAAACTACAGAAGAAAAGTTTTCTAGTTCTGTATCTTTCTCGATGCTTCTCATGCCCCCAAATTATTATCTTCTTTCCGTTAGCAATGGCAATATTCTCGTGTGGAACAAGAGATACCTGTCTTTTAGTTGATTGACCAAATTGCAGACAAAGTATAGTGATTAATAGAGTTGTGCATGTGGGGTGTTTTTTTTTTTTTGCAAGAATAAGATTAGTACAAATTGATATGGTTCATATCATATATTTCGAAATTAATGATTGAAATAAGTGAAGCAAATGATTTATTCTTATCTTTCTTTTTCTTTTAAGTACTTAGCAAAATGCGAATTGAATTGAATCTCTATTTTGTTAATGATTATGTAAGTTTGGTGTTAAATTTATTTCATATTTATTAGCTGTCAATTATAAATTAAAAATTTAATATTTTTAATTGAATGTCACATGTAATAGATATATAAACTCATTTATAAGAATTTTAAATTTCCTTATCACTATTTGAAATAATAATTAATGAAAATTAACCTTTTTTTTTTGGTAACAAATTAAAATTGACTTGAAATATAGAGATAAATTCGTCTAGATAACATAAACTTGCAAGGGGAATACTAACAGTGAAGGTGAACGTTAAAATTCAACTTTTATAAAGCCCAAGTGGTGGGTTGACCATTCTTTTTCCGTCTCTTTTCTTCTCATTTTTCCGGGAAAACAAGGATGTTTAGAGTGCAAATCCTGCATTTTCCAAACAAATATCTTACGAGGTGGAGAAAGAAAACGTATGCCAGAATTCAAGGCATGCAGTGAACATACATTCACAACATAATCTCCGTAAAATTAGGTCAAAAAGCAAGACTTGACTTGGCAAATGGACTAATGCACGCAAAAGGTGTAACTAAGACGAGGCAAAAGAATTTCAAAACAATAGTAAATAAAGAAACCGCAAGCAGTGGTCTAAAGTCAATGTACATATATAAAAAAGAAAGAAAAGAAAAATTATAAGGGGGGTGACCTTAAAGAT